GGGGTAATTACAATTACATACTTTTTTTAATCTTTATTGAAACGAAAAACAAACTTTGGAATTAAGCCGAACCTCAAACTAATTGCAAAAGAAACTTTCTATTCACTATCATAAACCATAGTGTGTGGTTAAACACACATACAAATTCGAAAACACAAAAAATGGGAAAGGTTATTTTTTGGGGGTCAAAGGTCACACTAACTATTTGTTATATTCCATACACATAGAACTCCATTGACAATGTGATGAAACAGATACTTTATTGACCCGGTTTTACAATTTATCCAAAGCAATGAATACATTTTTCAATACTTTTGAGAGATATACATAAATGAAAACAAAATAAACAAATAAAACACTTTATCGTGTTTAAAATAGTAATATTTGGGACGAATTGACTTATAATTATGACATTAAATCAGATTTGTTAGATCAGAGTCCTGAATTAACTGAAAGTTCTATATAGTAATTATTGGACACTCGTAAAACGTTTTTAAAACGTGTTAAATATATCTCGAAGTCGAATAGTATCACTAGTTTTCAGACAATATATCGTCTAACTGGTATGGACGAGATGATTTATGCCGATTCCAAGAGATCAAGGTTTCAGGATGACAGTTTCCAAAATGGATCACCAAACCGTCATTTTATGCATTCATTGTAAATTCAGAGAAAGATATATATGCATGTATGGTTGCAGCTGTTCTTTCCAACTAAATTAACACCCGGTGCTCACGTGAGATATTTATAGACACTCTGACATCACCAATTAGCGTTTCCGGTTTTTGCAAATGTCAGTACCAAAAACGGATCACGACTTGAATTTTACAATATCTTACACTTGAAATGAACATTTCTGTCACCATTTTAGCATTTTTAATGGGTTTTGAAATTTCAATGAATATAAGTATTTCTATAGGCTTAATTTATTCCTACATTCCGAAACAGAATGCATAGTCCTCGCACGCGCCATATTTTAACAACGTAACAAAAAAAATCAACTTTGAGTCTGAAATACGTTTTCTGGTGCTATTTGAACTCGAAAACTAACCATTTGTAGACAAAAAATGATGTCCTCATGCATGGAAACTAGCGACAGCCAAAGTGACTATCATGTGTATCTGAACACCTGGTATTCCCAAATGTCCGGTAACCCAGCAAAATGTATTATGATACTTTGATGCAATCTAATGTAAATATGTTCAGATTTTTCACCAGACCTTCATGAATCACTCCGCCGTATACAGCAGTAACCAAATGTTCTCCAGACTTAATCACCTGTGCTTTCGTACTTTGCTTGAAAAAGACACGTGATTGTGACTTCAATAATTCAACATCTCGAAACTACTTTAGCGTTGCAGCTTTACTTATTCCGAACATCCTATAAGTGGTATCACAGCCGCTTATTGCGTGGATAACTGGCAGAACCCCACAAATATCTTGTCCAATAACAGTTTTATATGGCTAGCCAACTTAACATTTATTCAAGGAGCAATGTCGATCCTGTATTTCAAAAAATAGTATATGAGATATCTTATATAATATATAAGATATCTTATATACTATATAAGATATCTTATATAGAAATTAAATGAGATGCTATATCAGATATCTTATATCGTATATAAGATATCTCATTTTATTTTCTATATAAGATATCTTATATAATATATAAGATATCTCATATAGCTATATAAGATATCTCATATAGCTATATAAGATATAAGATATCTTATATAATTAAAGTCTTGTTACTAAATAAGATATCTTATAAAGGAACGAGATTTTAACAAAATGTCGAAAATGAAGTCTCCCCGTCCGGAATATCTCGAGGATCTACGTAGGGACAGTAGGCTTGTTGTAACAACACGTGTTCCTGTCGCTGCCATTATGTCTGAGCCCACTTCAAGAGTGCGGGAAATGGCAGCCTCTGCTTTGGCCGCTATAAGAGAGACAAGGCGAGCTCAATGCAATCCTGAATGTGCTCCGAATGATTCTCGAGGGAAAAATTAGTTTCTGTTTTTTAATGCCACGAAATCTCATTCTATATCAGATATCTTATATAGCAACGAGATTTAAATTACATAAGATATATTATATAATATATGAGATATCTTGTATATTATATGAGATATCTTATATAGAAAAATAAATGAGATATCTTATATCCTATATAGTATATATGATATCTTATATACTTATAGAAGATATCTCATTTAGTTTCTATATGAGATATCTCATATAGTATATAAGATATCTTATATCGTATATAAGATATCTGATATCGTATATAAGATATCTTATATCGCATATAAGATATCTTATATCGTATATAAGATATCTCATATAGAAATTAAATGAGATATCTTATATAATAATATATTATATAAGATATCTCATATACTATATGAGATATCTTATATACGATATAAGATATCTTATATAGTATATAAAATATCTCATATGCTATATAAAATATCTTTTTTTTTTTTTTAAATACAGGATCGACATTGCTCCTTGAATAAATGTTAAGTTGGCTTGCCATAGTTTTAGTTAAAAACCTAGGGGTATACTTTGATAGTTCACTGAACATGGAGAAACAAGTGAACGCTATTGCCAAATCCTGTTACTAACAGATCAGGAACATTGGCTGTATCCGGCAGTTTCTAACTGCAGCTGCATGCAAGATTTTGGTACATTCACTTGTTACCTCTCGGTTGGATTTTGGTAACGCCCTGCTCTGTGGTATATCTGACAAACTAACTAGTCGTCTGCAGAGGGCCCAGAACATTGCAGCACGGCTAGTTATATATAATTACTCGTACTCGAAAGAGAGAGCACATCATACCCGTGCTTTATTCGTTGCACTGGTTACCTGTACGATACAGGTCGCAGTACACAATTCTAGTGTACACATACAAGGCACTGAATGGAACAGCTCCTCAGTACCTACAGGAGCTTGCTACTCTGTATCAGCCGTCACGATCACTGCGGTCGGAGTCAGAATCTGTGTTGTGTGTCCCAAAATCTCGTACTGTGACCCACGGAAACAAATGCTTTGGGAGGGTTTCGGCTACGTTGTGGAATAGCTTACCATCTGCTATTAGAAAGTCAAATACCCTGGCAAAGTTCAAGAGGGACATCAAAACTCACCTCTTCACGTCTGCATTTTAGAATCTTTGCAAAGAAGTCATGTAAATCCCACCCTTTTATTTGTTCAATTATGTGCACATTGCTTGCTTAAATGTATAAAAGTGATTGTAAGCCTTTGTTTTTTGTTTTCACAATTATAACCATTATTATTATCCATATGTTGTAAAGCGCTTTAGAGTAATTTTACAAAGTATATAGGGCGCTATATAAATGTTGTATATTATTATTATTATTAGTCACACCTTGATTTTCCCTCTGGAATCATGATTTGATCTGAAGTACAGCGGCTGAAATTATGTAAATTCTAGATGAAAGAGAAACAGCACAAGTAAGTCGGTGTCTTTTCATAAAAATACGATTGGCTTTGACAATGTTGAAGATACGGCAGTACGTACAATCAGGACATCTGCGTCAGACATTGCCTTTTTTGTATCAATTCCACTCTCGGACCTCTATTTACTCAACAGGTTGATACATTTTTCTTTATTTGTATTGTTTGCAAAGAACATGTCTTTCGTCGTCCTAAACGGGGTGTTTTCGGAAGAATTACGGTCAAATACAACTGTACAATCGGTGTGGGCGTGCTTGATGAAGTCTATGTATCCCCGATAGATCTGCCCAAATGTCGAGCCATTTTCCACTGTATCCGATGAAGAAGCTAGCACAGATTATTATATACATGACGTATTTACAGTGTTAATCATCTAATAAGATATGGATTCGTTTACTTGAGTATTTGTTAAAAACGCCACAATAGTGGTTTTGTTCAGGGATAAAGTTATACGAGGGAAAATGAACAAAACATAGAAATAAAGTAAGAAATTACAAGATATAAATAAAATATCAATAAGAGACAAGTTATCAACGATTAAATTGCATGAAAATATATAATTATCGAAAACCGAAAAAAATGCAAGTTGTGTTCGCAAATTACAAAATATGCTCTATTTTGACACGTATGGGCTTTCATACGTTTTTTGCTCCAAGCAATCTGATGCATTGGTATTAATATTTTTCCCGTTGACAGTTTTTAAAAGTATAGGTAATTAATTTGCACTAGTAGCCATATCTATTCATCCTTATTGGGTTTTTTATCCAAATTTTGAGGATATTGTCGGTGACAAATAAAGAAATACCACTGATAGCTTGATGTCATGTCAACAGACAAAAAATATATCGTAAAATCATAAATACATCTATTTATGACATAATCACTTATGGATTGTACTATCGAACTAACAGTTCATCGAATACAAGAACTTTTAAACTGATAACTAGATGTATACTAGATGTACGTGTATTTAACAACGATGAAAGCGAAGGAAACATGCGTCGTCTGCAAATTACCTCCCTTTACAGCACTCTCCATATATACGGCGACATTAAAAATACATGATTAATACCATTTACACTTTCATTTGGAAATTTTCTTTTTTTTTCTATTACAGCTATATATCAGACATTCCTTTAAAAAGACCCGAAACTTGGCAAATTTACTCTTAAAATAATTTCAAACAACTGCAATCACATACAACATGAGTGCTTACCATTTATCTGGTTTGACCTGATCTCAGGTATAACCCGGAATTAATCCGTAGTATAACCACGGAATGAGATTATCTAAGTCCGTGGTATAACACATGATATTTCTTATTAAATCAGTTCTTTCAAATATAAGATATCATTATGAAAATAAGCGTGTACTTTTTAACTTATTTGGATATTGAAATACGATTGCTGCTCATTCATCTATCTAAGTTTTCTATACACATTCTATATTAGTCGGTTTAACCGGAAACCGCACGGACGGGGAAGGCTCACCAAAATAAACCAATCCCAGCGTGGCTCTTAGTGTGGCTCTTAGCTGTTTCTGGACTTATGTGGCATAGGCCTACCGGCAACAACAAACATGGCGCCGAGGAAAAGGAATACAACTCAAAACACCAACAACAGCAGCCAAAACCAGTCGAGGAAAAAGGGATCTAAGAGACAAGATGATAAGATCAGGGAGATGAGTGAAACGGAAGGAATTCCGTGGTCTTACCTTGCACTTGTTCTCCTTCTTGGTAAAGCTAGACATTTTATATAGAATATGGGTTCAGTTGGTAATTAAGTTACAGTTAGTTTGATTAAGACCTACACCGATGTGTTTTACTTGCGTCTAACACCAGACATTGGACATTTATTGCAATATTGCGAAAGATCCCAGAACAATGTTTAGCAATCGCAAACGTCGTCTCGGTACCTTATCTCATATGATCTGAACATACCAGAATTCAAGATGGATCACAGATTTCTTATCACATCGCACACAAACAGTAGTACAAAAGGGAAAACAATCAGACAAAATTCTTGTCACATCATGCCTAACTAAGTACAGTGTTTAGGCCCCATCCTATTCCTCATATAGATCAACGACCTTCTCGAATACACAAACAAAGCACCCTTAACCTCTTCGCAGATGACACAAAAATAGGAACTCGATCATATATAAAACATTAAGGTTCAACAAGCCCCTAAAAGATGTAATAGTCACCCTAAATTTCAACCCCCTGGCAAGTCATATTCAAATACCCTTATCAAAAATCGGAATATATATATGTCATTTAAATATATTGAAATTGTACATGAGCTATTAAAAAGGTAAATAACTATGTTAACAAAGTCAAAATTCTGCATTAAGGCTGAAGTAATGATAAAAACTGTTCACCAGATTTTCCCGCTTGACCTAGGTATATAAATAAACTTTAAATTATGGGTCATTTCTCAGCACTCGGTTGGATCGCAAAAGACATGACGATTGACATGTTATAAATCCAGTGAGCTATTTTTATGAAGACATCAGCCTTAATGCCTTATTTTTGACCACGTTAACTTGGCTATGTATTTTTTTGTATAGTCAGTGTACAAATTCAATATATACAAATAACATATATAAGTTCCGATTTTTAATTGAGGTCTTTGAGCATGACTTATCAGGGGGTTGAAATTTTAGGTGACTACAGCATCATTTAGGGGACTTGTTGAACCTTAAACAACAGAAAAGATACAATCAAATTGCAACAGAACATTGATGCAGCAAGAAAATTCGAGTAAGACTGGCTCATGCAATTTCTGACAAATGCAACATTTCTTCAATATCAAACAAATGCACGTAATTCAAAAGTACTAACAAACTCCACCCCCGGATATTACTACAAGCAAACTCCAGTAAATACCTAGGACTAACACTTCAAAGCAATCTTAAATGAGACACTCACATCAACAATTACCTCCAACACAAAAAAAGTCACTAGGATTCCTAAAATGCACACTACAAACACATTCACAACATATAAAAGAACATGCATACAAACTTTGACACAGCAATGTTATGAGAACCACACAACACGCACCAAATCAACCAGATAGAGAAAATATAACACACCATCACACAATGGAACCTCCTAGCCTACTGGTAGCAGCAGTAGTACACATCACTAAAGGTAAGACCCATGTCCCCTACCTGGTCCTTGAAGTCCTAGCCTACCGGTAGCAGCAGTAGTACACATCACTAAAGGTAAGACCCATGTCCCCTACCTGGTCCTTGAAGTCCTAGCCTACCGGTAGCAGCAGTAGTACACATCACTAAAGGTAAGCCCCATGTCCCCTACCTGGTCCTTGAAGTCCTAGCCTACCGGTAGCAGCAGTAGTACACATCACTAAAGGTAAGGCCCATGTCCCCTACCTGGTCCTTGAAGTCCTAGCTCCTGCACCATAATAACATATACAGTTTGTTATCCTCCTTGATATTAACCACTATTAAACTAAATAACTGTGAACATCTTCTAGCCATGCAGTCTTCCTTACAATCACAGGCATAATTGTCAAGTTGAAGATCCCTTTTATCAATAGGAAGATAGACAGTCTATCATAACCCAACATGTCACGCCGGACCATAAAGGCATTAAACAAATAATGACCGAGACCGAGGCCTCTATGTCCAGGAACTAAACAAACAATATCCAAAGACCATACAAACACAACACCTACTCTACATCCAAAGACCATACAAACACAACACCTACTCTACGTCCAAAGACCATACAAACACAACATCTACTCTATGTCCAAAGACCATACAAACACAACACCTATTCTAAGTCCAAAGACCATACAAACACAACATCTATTCTACGTCCAAAGCCCATACAAACACAACATCTACTCTATGTCCAAAGACCATACAAACACAACACCTACTCTACGTCCAAAGACCATACCAACACAACACCTTCTCTACGTCAAAAGACCATACAAACACAACACCTACTCTACGTCCAATGACCATACAAACACAACACCTTATCTAAGTCCAAAGACCATACAAACAAAACATCTATTCTACGTCCAAAGATTATACAAAAACAACATCTATTCTACTTCCAAAGACCATACAAACACAACACCTACTCTAAGTCCAAAGACCATACAAACACAACATCTATTCTACGCCCAAAGACCATACAAACACAACATCTACTCTACGTCCAAAGACCATACAAACACAACATCTATTCTACGTCTAAAGACCATACAAACACAACACCTACTCTACGTCCAATGACCATACAACCGCAACATCTATTCTACGTCCAATGACCATACAAACACAACACCTACTCTACGTCCAATGACCATACAACCGCAACATCTATTCTACGTCCAATGACCATACAAACACAACACCTTATCTAAGTCCAAAGGCCATACAAACATCTATTCTACGTCCAAAGACTATACAAACACAACATCTACTCTACGTCCAAAGACCATACAAACACAACATCTATTCTACGTCCAATTACCATACAAACACAACACCTACTCTACGTCCAATGACCATACAAACACAACACCTTATCTAAGTCCAAAGACCATACAAACAAAACATCTATTCTACGTCCAAAGATTATACAAAAACAACATCTATTCTACTTCCAAAGACCATACAAACACAACACCTACTCTACGTCCAAAGCCCATACAAACACAACACCTACTCTACGTCCAAAGCCCATACAAACACAACACCTACTCTACGTCCAAAGCCCATACAAACACAACACCTACTCTACGTCCAAAGACCAGACCAGCACATCTATTTTACGTCCAAAGACTATACAAACACAACATCTATTCTACGTCTAAAGACCATACAAACACAACACCTACTCTACGTCCAATGACCATACAACCGCAACATCTATTCTACGTCCAATGACCATACAAACACAACACCTACTCTACGTCCAATGACCATACAAACACAACATCTATTCTACGTCCAATTACCATACAAACACAACACCTACTCTACGTCCAATGACCATACAAACACAACACCTACTCTACGTCCAAAGACCATTCCAACACAACTCCTTCTCTACGTCAAAAGACCATACAAACACAACACCTACTCTACGTCCAAAGACCAGACCAACACATCTATTTTACGTCCAAAGACTATACAAACACAACATCTATTCTACGCCCAAAGACCATACAAACACAACATCTACTCTACGTCCAAAGACCATACAAACACAACATCTATTCTACGTCCAAAGATTATACAAAAACAACATCTATTCTACTTCCAAAGACCATACAAACACAACACCTACTCTACGTCCAAAGACCAGACCAGCACATCTATTTTACGTCCAAAGACTATACAAACACAACATCTATTGTACGTCCAAAGACCATACAAACACAACATCTATTCTACGTCCCAAGACTATACAAACACAACATCTATTCTACGTCTAAAGACCATACAAACACAACACCTACTCTACCTCCAAAGACCAGACCAACACATCTATTCTACGTCCAAAGACTATACAAATACAACATCTATTGTACGCCCAATGACCATACAAACACAACACCTTATCTAAGTCCAAAGACCATACAAACAAAACATCTATTCTACGTCCAAAGATTATACAAAAACAACATCTATTCTACTTCCAAATACCATACAAACACAACACCTACTCTACGTCCAAAGACCATACCAACACAACACCTACTCTAAGTCCAAAGACCATACAAACACAACATCTATTCTACGTCAAAAGACTATACAAACACAACATCAACTCTACGTCCAAAGGCCATACAAACAGAACACCTACTCTAAGTCCAAAGACCATACAAACACAACATCTACTCTACGTCCAAAGACTATACAAACACAACACCTACTCTACGTCCAAAGACCATACAAACACAACGCCTACTCTACGTCCAAAGACCATACAAACCCAACACCTACTCTACGTCCAGAGACCATACCAACACAACACCTACTCTACGTCCAAAGACCATACAAAAACAACACCTACTCTACGTCCAAAGACCATACAAACACAACATCTACTCTACGTCCAAAGACTATACAAACACAACACCTACTCTACGTCCAAAGACCAGACCAGCACATCTATTTTACGTCCAAAGACTATACAAACACAACATCTATTGTACGTCCAAAGACCATACAAACACAACATCTATTCTACGTCAAAAGACTATACAAACACAACATCAACTCTACGTCCAAAGGCCATACAAACAGAACACCTACTCTAAGTCCAAAGACCATACAAACACAACATCTACTCTACGTCCAAAGACCATACAAACACAACATCTATTCTACGTCCAAAGACTATACAAACACAACATCAACTCTACGTCCAAAGACCATACAAACAGAACACCTACTCTAAGTCCAAAGACCATACAAACACAACATCTATTCTACGTCCAAAGACTATACAAACACAACATCTATTCTACGTCTAAAGACCATACAAACACAACACCTACTCTACGTCCAAAGACCAGACCAACACATCTATTCTACGTCCAAAGACTATACAAACACAACATCTACTCTACGCCCAAAGACCATACAAACACAACACCTACTCTACGTCCAAAGACCATACAAACACAACACCTACTCTACCTCCAAAGACCAGACCAACACATCTATTCTACGTCCAAAGACTATACAAACACAACATCTATTCTACCTCCAGAGACCATACCAACACAACACCTACTCTACGTCCAGAGACCATACAAACACAACGCCTACTCTACGTCCAAAGACCACACAAACACAACACCTACTCTACGTCCAAAGACCATACAAACACAACACCTACTCTAAGTCAAAAGACTAAACAAACACAACATCTATTCTACCTCCAGAGACCATACAAACACAACACCTACTCTACGTCCAAAGACCATACAAAGACAACATCTATTCTACACAACACCTACTCTACTCTACGTCCAAAGCCCATACAAACACAACATCTATTCTACGTCCAATGACCATACAAACACAACACCTTATCTAAGTCCAAAGGCCATACAGACAACATCTATTCTACGTCCCAAGGCCATACAAAGATTTAAGCTGATTTAAACAAGCTTGATGGACCAATTGTTATTGACAGTGATCATGATTACCTTTTATATTTACAGCTGCAGTCATTGGAGTTGCCCACAGGTAAACAGAATTACATAAGTTTAATGCATGCAAATGTATATAAACAATTCAAACCATTATCAAGTTATTACTGGGTTTGAGAAAAAAGTGATTTTGTAATGACAATATTAGTTGAAAGTATAATGGAACTTAGATAATAAGCTGAAAAGACAGCTGTACAAAGTATTATCATAATATATACTCTATACCATCTTCGATATCCAGGGGTTACGCTCACTTTCGCTCTCTACACCCCTGGAATATGTCATAGCAAAACCGAAGGCTCGGTGTGCACCACCTTGTTGATCATGATGAGACAAAAAGACTAGTTTGATCCTTTGATGTACATCAAAAGAATCTCGCGGTCACGTAAAGGTAAAAATTGACAGGATTTGAAGTCGGCCATCTCTCCTTTGTAATCTTCAAGACAGGTGTCAGCCTAGCGATTGGTCAGTGCTTTTTTTACCTTAGACTAATAAAACGGCTATCTTCGTGCCTTCAATTTTGCTATGACATATTCCAGGGGTGCAGAGAGTGAAAGTGAGCGTAACCCCTGGATATCGAGGATGTCTCTATACGAGGATGTCTCTATACACACCCGTTGATGTTGGGGATAAATAGTGGTGAGCAGGATTTACAAAAGGTGGATCATTAATATATTCAGGTTGGGATATCTTTTTTTCTGTGTTAAATTTTTATCGTTATCCAATATATATATATCTCCATTTTTGTTTGCAGAAATCATATAGCTGGCATGTTTGAGAGGGATCGCCATTTTTCACATCTGTCTACTCTAGAGAGAGAGCTTGCTTTTCGTACAGAAATGGTAAGTAAGGTATTTCATATAGTCATTAAACAAACAACAGTATTTCTGAATAATCTATAAACATGCCATATTCACTGTTATCAGTGTTATTCCCTTTTTGGATAATTATTGAAATAATATAAGCACTCCCTTTCCACAGCACTCTCCATTCTGACCCTCTCTGGTAAACAAAATGTAGTACAGTACTACCTGGTATATATATATCATATCTGGCAATGCAAGACTGTTTCCTTTTGTTTTGTGTCTGGTAGTTATGTACCCTTTATAGCAATTGTCACT